AATGGATTTTTTTGAATAAAAAAACGTGCTTATAATCTATCAAAAATATTTGAATTTTAAAAATGGCGCCTAAAGTCGATTATATTGTCCCATAATTTTATCACTCAAAAACTTAAAAACCATCATAACCGATGCGGTTTTATTTGTTGTCGTTCAAAGCGATGAAGCGAGCACAAAAATATGAAAAGTTTTTGAATCAATGTTTGCCATAGCGGAAAAAAGTTAAGTAGGATTCTAAAATAAATAGAACCATAGCTTAGATAACTGTTTTTACGATAACTTCTGAAAACTTGTTCATGTTTTCGCGTAGTCTAAGATATGGATAAAAAATTAAAATAAAACTCGAATTGAGAAGCAATTCAGATCTAGAAACATAATGTTCAAGGTGACACTTATACTAATTGCTACATCTGAAAACAGATGACAAATTGTTTTTCGCGAAGTCTCGATTGGAAGCGAACCCAATGTTTTATAAATTTTCTTGTATGTACTGTTCTAACAATTTTCTCAGGTAAAGATGGATAACATGGTGAAAGAAACTTTCCATTGAAACAAAAATATCATGGCTTTATTGATATTTCTGTAAAAGCTAGAAATTTTTTGAGCTGCTGCTCAGAGAAGCAAACAATTTAAAAATCTGAGTGTCTTCCAAAAAGTACTTTCCGGAGAAAGCGATGGAATATATAAATATCTACATACATATACCGCAAACTGTATGTGGAATCAGCAAATTGTAAGTGGAAAACTCAAACTGTAAGTGGAATCCGCATTTTGCTTGCGGATTCCGTTTACATAGATGTATGTGTAGTAGCTTTTAACACTATATCTTTTAATTACTACGTTGACTAGTTGAAATGCCAAATATTCGATCTCATTTCCTGTCAAAGACCCAACTTCGATCTCAAAACCTGTCGAACATACCCAACTTCGATCTCAATTTGTGACAAACATACGCAACTTCGATCTCATCTCAATTCCTGTCAAACATACCCAGCTTCAATCTCGCTTCCTACAAAGGTTAACTTCGATCTCAATTCCTGTCATCATTCTCAATTTGTGCAAGCTTGTTCATCAGTTCATTTCAAGCCATTTAATAAAAAAATTTTAATTTAGCCACTTTGAAATATTTTCAAAATGTGAAACCAGAACATAGTTTGATAAGGCAATTTTTTCAGGACTATATATTCATGTTTTAAAACTTTAATTCTGCTGTAAATCAAGTTTTAGTAATTTTTTTCTAATTCTAATTTACTGAAATTAGTTAAATAGATCATTTGCTCCCTGTGAACAAAATGATTTGAATTCACTCTCCCAAAAACTGAATCTCAATTACAAAGTCCCAAACACTGAATCTCAATTACTGAATCCTAAATACTGACCTAATTTGGCGATATTTCAACCCAATGATGAATTAACCCAAATACCGAATTAACTCAGTGAATTTATTCGGTGTTGTGTTTCCAAAACTAAGATCCCAAAAACTGCTTGCAAATACTAAAGTATTACATCCATCAATTTAGTTAACTAATGTTTTCAGATTTGATCGTGAGATCCGCTGACAATGGTTAGGTCTTTGCTTTTAAATTCCGCAAGTGCATATGCAAGCTCAGTTATAAACAAATATCTGAATTCCTTTACAGTTTGCGGATTCCGCTTACAAATTTTACCGATTCGACTTACATTTGCGAATTCCACTAACATTTTGCGGAAGCCACTTGCAGTTGCGCAATCCAGAACAACTAGCTATATTTTCTTGTTGCGGAATCCGCAACAAATTTAAAGTGCCGACAAAATTTACCTTACAAGTAAATGTACGCGAAATCTACGTAAATCTTGTAACTGGAATCCACTTACATTTTGGAATAAGTTTAAATACTTCTCTCGGGAATCCAAGAACATACAGACACAAAATTGTGCGCCAAACCAATGCTCAGTTTGGCCTCGTAATGTAATTCTTCTGACTTAATAAAAAAATAAGTTATGGTTTTTGTTGTTCCTGTAAAAAAAATGCGTGCGTGAAATTCGTCATAGGCAAAAATCATAAAACTTTTGACGGCAATTTTTTTGCAAAAACGATCAAGCATAGAAATGAGTTATTGCCTAATCTGAAAAAGAAATTTTGTTTCATGAATATAGAAGTTTTGCATAAAATACTTAAATATCATACAGTTCTCTTTAGAAATTATTTTAAAAAATTTCAATTGAACTAATTAAACAAAGATTTTGGCACCTGAACTGCGCCTTTTTACATGCGCTCAAACAAAAATCTAACCGGACTTGGTTTCGATCTCTTTGATTAAAGAATTGAAATACGTTGACTTTCAATTTTTGAACTGAGTTTGGGGGCAAATTAACAAGTCTATTTTATTATTATTGATTGAAATCGATGTTAAAAACTGAACAATTGAAATCCAACAAAATTTACCATGACTATTTCTGCCATGATTTAAGCATTGCATACATGCCTCTTTTTCTCTACTCTTTCCACCATTTTTCGATATTTTTCTAATCCCATACCATTAAAAGCAAGTGCCTCAACTACAAGCAAACCATTGTCCGAGCATTCAATAATAATCAATCAATTTAAAAATGACGTGCAGAATTTGATGAACCTGAGTATCATAATAAAAAAACACAATAAGCGGATAAAAACATTGACTCTTCAGAAGCATAGTGGTGCTAAAGCTCTGCTCAAAAAATTGTCTCATCAGCTCAATGGAAAAAAAATTGTGAATGCGGGAAAAAAATTTGCAGTTTAATCGGATCATTTTCGTAAGATGCCCACTGGCCGTTTCAAAAGCGGTTCATCAAGAGAAATTTGAACTAAAAAAGTACGTGCTGCTTGATTACGTATCAACAGCGGAAAAAGTAACATAAGCATTCTGCTATTTTTTCAGTGCAACCCAACGCGCTAAATTATTCGTGTATTCGTGATTTTATTTGTGTATTTCTCGAAACCACGCTATTCTCCGGAATCATTTGTTTTAGCTGCTTTAGGTGGTGAATGAAACTGGACAAATTCTAATCATATCGTCATATTGTTTCAATCAATTGTGTTCTTTCTCGTGTCCCTACCCATTTTTTATTGTGTTCGTAGTCGTGATTTGATTGCAAGAGCTGCTCTCATCGTATCTGCTTCTGTAGAAACATTTGTATCTGCTTTTTTGTTGGGTATTTAATGAGATCTTTATCTTTTTCAGCTTGTTACCTTCGATTTTATACCCTAACAAGCCATTCTAAACCGTGCAGTTTTTACCATTCAACTTTTTAAAACTTAACACGCAATTTTTTAGTTTTTCTTTGCCAAAAAATTATGCGTTGATCCGATTCCTGTTAAAAATACCTTACCTAACTTTTCCGTAAACTTCAATTTTGTATGGTGTGCACTGTCCGATAGCCGATATATTGTCTGAAAAAATCCGTTGAGCCCAATAAGTAACATTGTTTTTAGCTGTTGTACCCCAAAATGATTGTAGTTTTAATCAAGTACACCAATCTGTACCATATCTTCTCAAAAAGTGTAGTTCTTTAAAAAATGCTCTCACTTTAAACCATAAAGTGTGATTTTTTTGAGATCTCTCCGAATACTGAGTTCCTTGATATCCCTTACCGAGATTGCCAATGGATCGTTGCATTAGTTTTCCCCTCTCATCGTTTTTTCTCCCCGTACTGTTGTTTTTCCCCCTAAGACTGATTCATTGGTCCTTGAGAAGCCGACTTTAAAACTGTTCCTTGTTGCATTTACTTCTGTCTACAGTTTTAATGTTGACGCTTTCTTGTTTTGAATGCTCATGTCACTCATTGGTCCTGAGGTCATGCCTTTGAGAAAATGACTTGGTGTAAACTTTCAATGTCTTAGTGTCAGTACTTACTAATTTCAGTAGTCTAGCGTTTAAAAAAATCAAATTCACAAACACATTTGTCGTGAAGCTGTCCTAATGTAATATCTTGGATTCAGCAATGCTGAATAAGCGCAGTTTTTTAGTGCCAACTAACCGTTCTCATACTCCGAAACTAAACTTCGATAAAATTTTACTGTTTTCCACCTATTCCTGAAGTATGACAGTCGAAAACGTACATGCTATTTAAGTTTTTGCTGCCCTCACTAAGTTGAGAGCAATGTCACTGTGATTACCAATATGTAGTCCGAGCCGACTGAAGAGCCCATTACACAGGATTCATCTTTCAGGTTTGTTATGAGCTCAATATGTACTGCTCTAACAACTAGGCAAAATAATATAAAATAAT